TTTTTGTTTTTGTCCTCTGTTTTCCTGTCTGCAAATAGTTTATATGCTGAATCTGTTACTTGACTAATAATTTTGGTACCTTTTGTGTTTTAGTGGTGAACTCTGTGTATTAAATGTGCTACGTAGAGGATTTTATGATTCCATTATCCTTTATGTCTTAAGAAAAAGACCATGACATTTTTTCACTCTTTCTTCTCCATAAATTTTTCATTTTTTTAGGGCAGAAATGTATTTGAGATAATCCTTGCTATTGGTCTCTTATTGTTACCTTTATACATCCATTATTCCCTCAATACTTTTAACACCTTGTTAACCCCATTTCTTGTTGTGTGTTATCTTGGCAAATTTGCCAATAAATTTTTTATTTTCTAACACATTCTAAGTTCTGTTTTTCTGATTTTTATTTTTCTCACCTCCACTAGTCTTTTACCACGTTTAGCAAATTGGAAGATCACTTTATTGTTTATATATCTATATTCTCTTATATCACATAGTTATTTTTGAGAAGGCCTTTTAGTCTGAAGTCTAGTTTTTAAAAATAGTTTCTTAGCTATTTTTTAAGAAGCTTCATCTTGATGAGGCTTAAGTGGTTATCTTATTTTTTAATGCAGATCTAATTTAGTCATTTTCCCCTATAGACTTGTCTTTCCATTTCGTGTGTTGCTTCTGGGATATATGTGTTTTTACGTATGGAACAAGTACCTGACTCAGTGTCAGAAGAACATGCGTTAAAATGAAGTCCAGTGAGCATAGCGGTTTTGTCCACTATTCAATCCATACATCCTAGACAGGTCATCCATAGCATATAGTAGGGACTCAGTGAATCCTCGTTGAATGAATTTAAGCTGTATATTTAGTAGTGTTGAAACAGCCGTGTTGAATCACATACTCCACTGAGCCTTGCAGCCAGTGATACAGAACTGTGGACACGGTGATGAGAATTAGGGGCGTAATTGGTGACCATGGATTGGAGTACTCTTCTGGAAGAAGCAGAATGTAGAATGTAGATCTTAAGAGTTTTTTTAAGCACTCCATTTGAATCATACGTCAGACATACAACTTATAGAATGGTGTAATTTAACATTATTTGGTTTGTTAGTTTTACTTGCTGGGATAATTTCTATCATCTTCAAGGATGTATTCAAATAGAAACTCAACTGAGATTTAAGCTAATGTTTGTTTCAGTATTGCCTGGGCAAATTTGTGGTTTATTGATTCTTAATGTCTTAATATCTCTACTGTATGGTTACGTATTAGGATGAATGGTTTGAGAGTGGTGCTGCAAAACTTATTTTCTCTTGGTTTAGGTTCAGAGCACTGGTGAAGGAGAAGCACAGAGATATTTTGATCATGCACTTACTCTGAGAAACACAATATTGTTTCTGCGTCATAATAAAGATCTAGTTGCACAAACTGCACAGCCAGACCAGCCCAATTATGGTATGATAAATGTACTTGATTTTGAAGACATGATCCTATGGAACTTCTTTAAGAAATTAAACAGGTCACGCTCACTTATTTAATACATTTTGTGTAGATGGCATGTCGAGTTTGCAACTAAAGGCTTGTTTTGTGAATTTCTTTGCTCGTGAACTCTTTCTTACCTTATTTTACTCTTTCTCCTTTCTTATGTGCCACTGTAGTATTTGTAGCATTTAAATCTGTTCAGTACCTATAAGAAGGGTTGGAGTGTTTAATTTGTTTGAGTGGCTGGACGGAATTTAGAACAGTTTGAGGGGTGAACAAGTGCCAAAATGTAGTTGTTTTAAGAAGCATAAAATTTCATGAGTGAAAGATTCCATTGTATAAAAATAATAAACAGGAGCTTCCTATTGAAATGCTGCTGTAATATTTACTAAAGTATTTTACTTTAACAAATAAAAAAGAGGACGGAGAACCTTTTTAAAGAGTAAAAGAAGTAGTGACACTTGTAATCTGTGATGAGCCCTGCTGTGGCGATCACCTGGCATGCGCTGTCAGTGTTGGGATAGACGAGGGTTCCCAAACTGGGGGTCAGTGGATGGTAGGTCCTGCGTTGTGCAGCGCCATCCAGGAATATATGTTTTGAAAAGATGACGTGGCCTGGGCACCAGTGAAGAGCATTTGGCTCAGATCCTCAGACATTCGCAGGAGCTGCATCTCGGAAGTCTGTGAAATCTTGGCACCACGATAATATTTACTCTCACTCATTCTTTCATTCACTTGGAAGTTCTGTTTTCTGGCCAAGAACCTTCGAGTTTCTTAGTGACATCCATTCTCATTCTACTTCTTTCACTAGCATCTGGCTTTCTTTTCAACTCCATTTAAAAATTTAAGGACGGAATCAGTTGTCACTCCACAAAAGTGGTTGTGGAGGTGACCGCAAAGCTGCCAGGTGGTTGAGCTGAGTGAGGCTGGACACGCTCAGTTTCCTGTGACTGGGCTCTGCAACCTTTGCGTGTCAGGTGCAGAGACAGACGTGAGCAGAAAGAGGAACGGTCCCATGCTGGGGCTCTTTTTGAGATTGTTCGTAAATAGTTAAAACTGAGAATATTAAATCAAATGCCAAGCGGCCAAAGCACTTACTCATAAGCGTTTGTTAATAGTAACCATTTTTTGGCTACCAAATGTTAGATCATGTGACCTGAGCGATGAGCAGCACAATCTTGAAGATGTCTTTGTACGTAAAAGTTACCGGGACTTTTTAGTGACTTATGGAGATAACAGGTTAGAGTATTTGAAATACTCTGCTATAACCATCTTAAAATATATCATCCTTCCGTGCTCATG